GAATTCCTCTACATCGCAGTAACTGTAAGTTCACTGACTTGCCAGTGTAATTAAACACTCTTGGCTGAAGCAGTACAAATAAAGGATTCATCTACTGAGGTTTGTAGTGATTCCTAGTTTTCTCCTAGCGACAGCAGATCATGTAGAGGGCATGACGCATGAACCTGGTGCTCCTGTCTAAGAGATGAGCTGCCTATTGATCCTGAGGATTTGTATTTCTGTATCCTTGGTTGGTGCTGAGACAGGGTAGGATCCAGTACTAAAAAGTTTACTAAATATCTGCTAATGGAGTCGTTCTCAAACTCAATAGCTACCTGACAATAATGGGATAATTAGAAAATGAATATTACTTTTTGCCATATTTATGTAATAAAATATACATTTCTTAAAATAATGTTTTTGATGTAGAGTCAACAAGTAGCACTACATAAAAATGACAGTAACTGGCAAAAATCAGGATGTAAAACAAGCAATATGTTCTCAGTTTTGTAAACACACACACACACACACACACACACACGTGCACACACGTGCACACACGGGCATTTCTTCAGGGACCAGGTGTCATTTCTTCACTTCTGTTTTTCTCACTCTCCAGTGTCATCAAATACATGAAGGCTATAAGGAAGAATGCCAAAATGTCAAGAAGGAGTCTTTCAGGGTGGTGCAGGTTGAGGTGTTTATTTCCTTCTTTGCATTTTTCTTGTATAAATTTTGTATAATTAGGATGTGTATTGGTTATGATTTCTTCAATCACAAGAGGCTAACAGACCTAACAGAAATTGCCCTGAGACTAACGGGATTTTTTGCCCTTGTGACTACAGAGCTGGCGTTAGGCACCTCTTTTTGGGCCTCAGTCAGAGGTATGGGGACCAGGTGTAATTTTTTCAGGGCTGACAGTGCCAGGTTGCCACCACAGAGCCTTGGGTTGGAGGTGAGCAGGAAGTGTGTGCCACCTGCTTGCCAGCACGGGTCTGTCTCCCTGCTTCTCCCCTGGTATTCTATGACTGTGACACAGTTTTCCATTTTCTTTAAGCTGCTTTGGTGCCCCTCAGTAGTTTCAGCTTTTCCGCCCTGAAATTTTTCCTATTTCTGATATTATTTTAAATTAAATTCTTGGTTTGAGGTTTCTTGGGTGATTGAATTTGATTGATTCTTTGATGATTGAATTTAGGCTGAAATCCATTGGGGCTCCCTTTCAGGAATGTTGTTCCCTTACACCAGTCAGCACAGTGACAACAGAGCCCTGAAGTCCCCCAAAGAAACGGGTATGGAGTGTTATTGAGGGACTATGTGGATGGCACAGCCCCGCAGGGTCTGCACAAGGTGTGTGATGTAGGGTGCGGTAGGAAACTGGTTCGGGACGCCTTTGGCAGCCCTGGGGTCTCTCCGTTTCCCTTCCTCCCTAGCATCATCAAATCCACAGCTCAGTTTCAAGTCTGGGTTATTAAATCCTTTAAAAGCAAAAAATGATTTTGAGTTTTTTGCTTACCTTTCTGGTTTCTTATTTCTCTTACGTTTTAGACTGGTAAATTCCTAGTATCATTTTGGTTCTCTGATGTTTCTGTCAGCTTTAAAATAATCCACCCAACAGTACTGTTTTCAGTAACAAGGTCAGTTTGAAATGTCGTTAGCTCCAGCAGGGAGCTAGTTTAAGTTCAAATTCTGATCAAAATAAGAGTCGATCCAGTTTGAAGTAAAGAGGAAAGGAAGGCAGCTGGTGCCCTTTGCTTAACAAGAGTCCTATACTTATTTCAGAAGGACAATATTGGCAAGGGGTTAAATTAGAAAAAGTTTTGAAAATTTATATAAAATCCTTATTCTCAGAAATAAAAAGTAGTGGTTTAAACATTTTTAAATAAAATTGAGACGTTTATTTTACCTAAATGATTATACTAACATTTAAGTGGAGGCAACTTAACTCATGTTCTTCAGAGATTTAATGGTTTTACTTCAAAATTATTTTAGTGGTGAAGTAGGTAGTAGGTATGTAACAAACCACAGACCCAACTATGTTTTATCAATTTTCTCCTGAAGTACAACTGCAGATTTGTTATTTCTATACAGAAATATAGGCTTTCAACTTTAAATAATTCCTCTTGATGCCCTAGAAAGATGCTAGTGAAGCAAAAATTTTTTTAAAAATTATATATCTCTATATATCCAGGGTTTTAAATCTCTGAATGTAAATAGTAAAACATTCCTTGAATGTTGTTAAGTTCACAAATTTCATATTATCAATACATAGTAGTAGCCAGGATGATCTTTGTAGAATACAATAAAACATTAAAGCATTTTATTTTTTATTGAAAGTTTGAAAAATTTTACTGGCAGGAAACAAGAGTATGAAAGATATGTGTAATATTTTAAAAATGGATTCATATCGTGTGTCTTCAAAAAGCTGATAAACTGATGGCTAACAGTTTATGTTTTTCCTAATACTGAATGGCAGCAAGTTCCAGAAACTGAAAAAAATCACAGAGAAAAGGTACAAAATTGAGAAGATCTGTCCATTTGGCATATTCTCACCAACTACTTTTTAGTTTTCAGGTTATTTTTAAGTGTGTGTCCTTTTATGTCATAGCATCAGGCCATCCTTTCTAACCTGCCATTTGTCATGCTGTCACAACCACACTTCTCACAGAGGACTCACCCTGCTTATCCGATACCCTCTCATGTTTTCATGGCAACAGTTTAACTGTAGCATCTGTCAGAAGAAACCTCCTAGATACAAACTTCCTCTGTTTCTTCTCAAACTTTCTCCAGAACATTTTATTGAACTGGGCGCCATAGCTGACCCTGCCAAACTCCCACCTCTCAGCTTCTGTGACTTCTGCTCTCTGACCTGATCCTAACTGCTTTTTGCTGCCTGTCTTCTTTCTTCCAAACTTAAGTGCTGCTATTGTGTCCTCAAGATAGTTATTTGTGTCCTTCACTCATTCCTACATTCTCACACACAACTTCAGCCAACATTTCTATGTGGATGGCCTCTCCCCACAAACATTCTAACATCTTCCATGACTCAATCTAGTTATCTGTCAGCCATCTTTCCCTGGATCTCTGCTAATGTCACCAAGCCATACAGAAAACAATAATCTTCACTTTCCCCTATTACTACCCATTTTCCATATTTCTCTTTGCTCAAACTTAAAGAGCCTCCTATCCAGCATGCTGCATGTACATCTACTTTCTTGGACCTGCCATTTCTAGGTCTATTAGCACCATCTGACTTTCTAGCATCTGCACTTTGGATTAGGTTTCTGAAACAGCCTCCAGAGGATTTCACCCTGGCCAGCACAACCTTCCAGCTTCATCTGGAGTTATTCTGGTCCCTGCACAAGGCACATGTAACCACATCTAGATTGGCACCCACTCTTCCATGAACTTGTGTACATCCTCATGCCTTTGCTCACTTTATTTCTTCCCTTTGGAATGCCCTTGTTTTAGCCCACTCCTTCTGCATCCCAAATGTGTGTAGCATAACTACTATTCTCCTTCAGTGTCCTTGGGATGCCAGTCAGTAAAGGAAACTGAAAAAAAAATGTGTCCAGAGATATAAGATTACAGCAACCATGAGGGAATAGCATTCCAGGAAGGGGTCAGTATCAAGGACAATACGTTTAGGAGAAAGAAATTAGAAAATCCACTGATGACTCTTCTCAAGAAAGCTGTGATTTCCAGGTCCTCCTCTTCCTTTCACTCTTAAAGCCACTCCAACTGCGCCTCACCTGGCACTCTGTCACTCCACAGAAACTGCTCATCAGGGTCATCAAGGGCCTCCATGCTGTGAGGTCCAATGGTCAATTACCAGTCCTCTTCCTCCATCAAAACCCGCCCCTTTTCAGTTCTGTTGGTAACAACTCCATTCTTCCAAGTGATCATGCTTAAAACCTTGGAGTCATCCTAGACACCTTTCTCTCCAATCCGTAAGTCAGTGGGCTCTACCTTCAGAATAAATCCAGAACAGCTGCTTCTCATCTCCCCCCTGCTACCACAGCAGCCCCAGCCATTGTCATTTTCTGCCTGGATTCTTCAGCTTGTCTCCCTGTTTCTTCTCTGACACGCACTCAGCTCCACTGTATGCGTAACACAGGAGCCAGAGGCCTATCAGATCACGCCCCTCCTTTGAGCCCAGCCCACTGTCAGTCTAGGAAAAGTAAATGCTTCACCACAGCCCACAAGACCCAATGTGATCAGCTCTTGACCCTGTCACTCCCCTCTAGTTCCTTTATGCTGGCATTCTAGGCTCCCAGACATTTCTTAAACACATAGGCTGTTCCTTGTTCCTAGAAAGCTCATTTCCCAGACATCCACATGGCCAACTCCCTCACCTCCTTTAGGTGTCTGCTCAAGGAAGCCTACCCTAGCCATTTCCTTGCCTCACTTCTGAGTTTTCTTTTCATTCTGTACTTGCCACTTTCTAATATAGTGTATAGTTTACCTACTTGCTATGTTTATTATCCCCCTCTCCCTGACTGAATGTAAAGCTGGTGTGTTCCTTTATATACCTGAAGCATTTTAATAGTGCTCAGCACATAAGAACACAGTACTAAGTATCTATTGAACAAAGGAACAAAGGACTTTTGAATAAAAATTTTATAAAGTGCTAAGGACCTAAGCTAATTTACATGGGCCCAACAGCAAAGGCACTGCGAAAAAAAATGAAACCACAGAGACAAAGGAATCTGTGACGTGTTTAAGCCTTTCCATTCCCATATACAGGAAGTCTGATTTATGAAAAACACAGCCATTTAAAATACTTTCATTATTTTTTATTTTTAAAAATACGTATGATAAAACACAAACATTTTAAGCATCAATACATAAGGACCACAACATCCTCAAATCTTTATATTTACATTTATAAATATCAATAAATATTTAATGTACTAGTAGTCTCAATGTAACACCAGAAGATATGCAATTTGAAAAAAGAAAGCAAAAACTAGTAGTAAACTGGTTAGTCAAATAAAATTTAATCATTGAGCATTGCAAATTTTTTAACTTTTATGACTGTAAGCAACAAATATAATAAAAACGTATAACAAAATATAATAGAATTATAAATGAATATACATGAATAGTGTAAGAGAAGTACTTTTGCATTCTTGTAAATATGATTCTTGGCATTAATTCTGGCCTATTTCCATAAGTTTTTTTAAAATGGTATGGCTGATTTCTTAAGTTCCTGGCTATAGGCAAACAAACCCATTTATTTATACTTTTAAAATTGTAATGGCTCTAATGCTAATGCACAATTGGAATATAAAGAATGATTGTTTTTGTTTGAGAGGAGGGGATCCACGCTGCACACCAAAGTCACCAAAAACTCAAATAAACAGAAAGTAAAGTTTAGTGTTCTCTAATTAAATTTGAAATTATCTTGGCTTTCAGAAGTTACAATCATTGAAATAGACAAAATCTTCCCTGATTTCTTTGGTGATCCTGAGCACAGAAATTTAGTCTAGAACCTTTTCTCGGTACATGGAATGCTAAGCCAGCAATCTATCTTAAATCACACACACATATATATGTGTGTATATATATATAATATATATATTAGTTATATATATTATATATTATATATATATTGTATATATATAGTAAACTGTCCTTAGGATAAACATAGTAAGATTAAAAATAAACTTACTTTACACAAGAATATAGACTGATTAATAAATCATTTTGCCATGTAAGTTAACATTTATCTACATGAAATATACTGTAGATAAATTATCTAAATTTTAGTAAATTCTAAATTTTAGATACCAATGAAGTGAAAGAGGGACTTTCTAGATTCTTTGTGTGAAGAATTGGGAGATACCACACACACTTCGGCAATGGATTTCTCTTTTTAGCTATTTTGCCTGGTTAATAATACTGTATGTCTTCATTGCCTAAGGCATAACGACAGGACAATAGCAGAAAGAAGCCTGGAAATTCCAAGAACGGTGGGCAGGCTGGTTGAAGAATGGTTACGTGTGTGCATGACTGTGCTGACCACACACACACATTTATGAACATTACTTTCATAAACAAAGACTGTCACTGGAGCCTCACAAACAAAGGGCATCCAACTCTACTGTAGCCTGCTATTTATCCACAGTACCGGTTTCAAAAAGAGAAAGGCACACTCAAAATATGCTAAGCCAAATATATCTCTATGAAAAGGGTAAACTGGGAAACAGAAATAATTCTAGAAAACAGAAATGCTTATAGTAAACACATACAGTAAATTAATTAACTAGGCACAATTTCAAGAGCAAAAATCACATGTACTGTAATGATTAAACTGCAACATTTGGTAGACAGTAAACCATATTTAAACAAAGTTCAGCTCCAACTTAGTTCTGTATTGATTTTTACTTAATGAATCAATGAAGATTTTTGATATTAAATAATTACAATTATATCTTTTTTATAAAATGAGTACCTAAAATGTTTAAATGAAAAAAATACTCATTAGGTGAAAAGCTCTATTTGTGTTTATTTTCTTTTTTCCAGATGTTAGTTTATTTACAATATGGACCCGAAAGCTTATTTATTCTGGAGATCCATCTATCTGTCTGTCTGTCTGTCTATCTATCTATCTGGGGTAGCGACTGGACTGCCAGCTGTGGGGCTTGGGTCCTGGTCATCTTGTCTGTTTCAGTAATGGGCACTGTCTGGCACTTAGCATAATGAGTACTGCTGAACACAGAAATCTCTACCGCAATAAAGGCTCTAGTTGTACTGTAAAAGAGGCTTTAGATATTCAGGGCTTCCTATTAGTACGCATGTAAAAATAAAAGTGAAATTTAGTGAGCCAATGGAGATAAACACCACAAATATACACCACAAAAATGTAATATATACATATTCTTTTATCCTTAAAAACACACTATATCGTGTGTTTGAGATATACACGGAAGTATTTATGAATGAAATTATATGATGTCTTGAATTTGCTTTGAAATATTACCAAAAAAGTGGTGTGTAAGTGGTAGATATGGGAAATAGGCACTTAGTGGTTCTTCACCTATACTTTGGTTTGAAAATTTTAACAATAACAATAATGACTTCAAATAAGTTTCAACAAAAAAAAATAGGGTAAAATAATTTTCAACTAGCAAAACCACTATATAAGGTGATTGAATACAAAGACTCATATAAGCCTATTTATAAGACTGTTACAATAGTGAAGTCAGCAGTAATTTAAGTTTCAATCAATAGGGAATTAAATACAGTATACCACAAACAATGGACTACTATGCAAATGTTACAAAGACAGTTTCAAGTGCTTAAGGATGTTCCGCAGCAGTGTGGAGAGCGGGTTCATTCTCATAGGAGTGACCAGGACAGACACCTAGAAGAGTGCTCGTCATTGCTCAGAGTGGTCATCTCTGCCAAGAGGAATTACAGGAGTGTTTACTTTTCCTTGAAACCACTCTGCGTTACTCAAAATTTCAGAGTAGTATTTCTTAATTTTATAATTAAAAGAAACTATTTTCTGTAGTGATAGCCTATAATTTTTCATTACCTTGTTCTTTCTAGCTGACAGAATGATTTAGTATTAAAAACTGTCAAATCTTGTGCAATTCAAAGTGACAAAGTGCTATCCTTCCAACAACATGAAATCCAGAATATATTTCATTTATTTCCAAAAATGTAAATAACAATTTTAAAGCACATTTTTCCTCAACCACCTACGGAGTGCACTGAAATTTAAATGTCAAAAAGTACAAAAAGCATATTATAATATATTTAGGAACAGACTTAAATACTTTAGTTAACTCAAATCAGACTGAAAATTCCATTAGCTATAGGGAAAAAATAGTGTTTGGAAGAGAAAAGAAGAAAATGTTTTCTGGTTGTTTCTGAAAGAATTTCAAAGTATCCCAATACATCTATGCAAAAAACAACAGTGGATATTTTAGTAATATGTTTGTTCTTAGACTAGAACAGATGGTAACATGGAAAAAAGTGTAATTTCCAGATGCATAATTCTGTGACTTCAGTGCCATGGACTTGACATCAATTAAATTTCAAGTTTATATCTAACCAGCACTGCAGCACCTTGAGTATAAGTTTTAATTTAATGGTTAACCCTGAAGGCTCACTTAAGCTCTGTTATCTGCATCCCAGAGGAAGGTATTCTAATGACTGTCACAGTCTTTCTTTTCAAGTAGTCTGCTGCTGATGTGCTTGATTCCTAGTCTGCAAAGGACCCAGAACAGAATGGGAGGGACCCTGCGGGCTCCTCTCCACTCACTATCCAACCCTCTTGGACCTACATAGCAATTGATTTTAAAGGTATCAAGGAATTTAAAAGTAGGTGCTTTTTACAAGGGACTAAGTATCTCTAAGTGTGGCAATTTCAGTTTGAGTAAAGAAAAACAAATAAAAATGTATCACCTCAGTTACCTGGTGGAAATTCTCTTCTTTCCTATCCATGTTCTAAGCTTCAGGAATGGTGTGAAATTTCTTAGCTTTTGATTTATCCAAGTCATATATCTGTATCAGATTGAACAAGAGTATTTTGTTACAAATTAGCTGCATAAGTGTGGTTATGCTCAAGTAGATATTGTTTCTTAATTATTATATTTCTAGATAATTTGGGGAAAATAATGTAAAGCCTTACTTGGGGAATCTTAAAGGTCTAGCTAGCATATCATGAATATCCCTAGATTAAAAAAATGTTTTTACCTGTTTCCTAGAACTGGATTGTCCATAATGCAGAGTATCACAATGATGCTTTGAAGTTTTTGAAGAGTCAGGACATAATTTTCTTTTAGACCTGTGAGCTGTTCTGCTTGTTATCAAGCTGCGGTCACTTAAATCAACTTCTTTAGTTTGGTTTGCCCACTGTTGTGGTAGTTGCGCATCTTCAGTTTCTATGTCTGGTTCAAAAATATGTGGTTGTCTCTTTAGTTTCACTGACTCATAGTCTTTTCTTAAAATCTGTGTTATACATTTACTTGTTAGATTTTCTTTTCCAGAGATGTCCATAGCATTTTTCCTCACACTTAAACTGTTATTTGATACCTGACACACCATACTGTTAGACAGTTGTTTACTTTCATTTAAGCTCACAATCGATTTTCCATTAGAAGAGGGATATTTTGTCATATTTTCATAACATTCAGTACTTTTTTCTTGCGGAGGTCTGGAGCTCTTCTGATTTAAATTTCTACCATGTATTTGAATGTTACTATTAGATCTATTTTTAATATTTGGGCCTAAATTAAGTTTGGTATCCTGGATTATACTAGTTTTATGTGAAAACAATTTCGAGTCCATTATGACACGCTGTTTTCTTTTCTGTTTGCTAAGTACTGAAATATTTTTATTCATCAATGATAATCTATTTTTGAAAACTGGTATGAATTTAGGTGTGATATTACTTTGGGAGCTAAGATTTGTGTGTTGAACTTGAGTATCTTCTTTATTGGGCTTTGATTCTTCCAAATGTCGTTGTGGTACCTTGTGAGACAGGAACTGCTTTGCACTGTGAATGGACTCTGGCTGATAATGTAGAGCTGAGGAAATGCCTGGCTGTGGCTGCTTGATGGAATGTTCCATCTTGTGGTCTGCTACTACTGAACATGGGAGAAGACTTGGAACTGGAACAGGTTTTCTGGCACTGGCTTGAGTCACAGAAGTCTTGAACAGTTTTTTAGTGGTCAGATTGGGTGGCTTGACTTTGTTTTCCTGTAAGGATAGAGATAAGGGATGTTTTTAAATATAATGATGCCATTAATTGAAAAGATATAAAGTATCATCAAGATAAGAACAGGAAAACAGGGTGTGGTGGTACACTCCTATAATTTCAGCACTTGGGATACTAAAGTAGGAGGATCACTGTGAGTTTGAGGTAAGCCTGGGCAACATAAAGAGTTAAAGGCCCACTCGAAGTACATAGTGAGATCCTACCCTCCCCTAGAACAGAAAGAACATTATAATGTGTAGAACAGGCAAATAAAAAATAAAAATAAGCCTACTGGTATAATATGTACAATTTCTGATGGCTTTGTATCCATCCTTTCAAGATAATATTTAAAGGTAAAAGCATATTCTAGCTTCTATATAAATCAACTATAAACATTATACATACAGCTACATATTGTCCTGAAATGCGTTCATGCAGCCATCTTGTTGAGAAAGCTTCCCTCTTTCTCCACTGCTTCAACCAAGACACAGCTTTCTCTAAATGTTTAGCTTCCCACTTCCTCTGAATGCCCCACCAGTCACCCACACAGGGACTATTTTTCTCTCAACTCTCTAAAGATTGACTACCAGTTAGTAGTTATTGCCACCAAAATAATTCAAGGTAGTGGTCTTATGTTTTTTTTTTTTTTTAAGGGTTAAAGGAGGGTTACCTTGTTATTGGGGGGTTTTCCGGATTTCCAAGTTGTTGGGCCTTTTTCATTGTTTTTTTTTTTCCTTTTTGTTTTTTTCAGGTTGTTTTTTCGGGAAACCAATTGGGCAATTATTGTTGGTTTCCGGCCAAAATGGTAGGAAATTATCAATGGCTATTGTACAATACTTTGGTTTCTTCAAAGTGATTTCTAGGGAAAACAAATAGAGCTACACATGAGTGATCAGTCAAATAATCACTGACTATTCTCAATGGTTGTTGTTGAAAACATATGGTAATAAACATACATCCATTTATGAAATAGCATAGGAACAATAGAAACATTACAGAGTTATGGACAGATTGGTAGGAAATTATCAGTGGCTGCTGTAATACATGTTGGTATCTTCAAAGTGGTTTCTCAGGAAAACAAAGACAAGCAAGAAAGATCTAACAAGTAGTTACAGCCTAAAGGTTGTGAAAAATAGCAGATTACCTCCTCATCAGTGACTCCTTTCACTGAGGTGTGATGGCTGGAAGGAAGGCCAGGATTGAAAAGAAGGACCGAGAGACTAGCACAATAGGCTGTTTACTTTGTCCGAGAGACAGCACAATAGGCTGTTTACTTTTTCCTCTATAGTCATGATTATGTGGGGCTCCTCCTTGAAGGTAACCGTCTGGCCAGAGGGAGAAGGCAGAGTATTCCCTGGGCCCCTTCATTCCTGTTGGACCAGCTGGTAGGAGAGGTCTGAGCTCTGGGGCCTTTGCTTCAGAGGGCAGTCCCCCTTGAGGTGGCCTGGCTTTTGACAGTGGTAGCAGATGAATGTAGTCAACAAGTTCTTGGGGCCCTGAGCATCAGACTTAGGGTCTGTTTCTCTTAGTGCTGCAACAAAGGCAGTTGTTTTTTCTTAGTCTCTTTGTTTTCTCTCCTTGGCCTCCTCCTCATCATGGCCATAAAATACCAAAGAGGCAATTCTTACCAGCATCTCAAGTGAGCTATCTGGGGCAAAAGCCATTTTTTGTAGCTTTTTTTCTACTATCTGGGGCTGACTAATAAACTTATCTTTAAGAATAGTTTGTCCGTCTACTGAACTGGGATCCAGGGAAGTATGCTTTATCAATGCCTCTTGTCTAAGAAAGCAGAGGGGTGTTCTCTCCAGCCTCCCAGTGCAATGGGACCCCACAACCACTTAGTGTCCTCTCCCCAACCATCAACACAGGTGGCAGGAACATGTTGATGAAGTCCTAGGCCTGCCTGTCAGTCTCAGCACTATCAGGTGTGAAGTGTCCCAGGCAGGTAACCTAGACATGTACTTTCTCCATGAAGGCAGTTCTTCAGAATCTGAATATTGGGCACCCATGTAATCTATGAAGTCTCAGTGCAGACCTCTCTGGAGCTCGACTCGCTCCTCCACCGCAGCCTGTACAGTCAGGGGAAGAACAGCCTCCAGGGGGTTTCCCCAGGTATTGTGCAAGGTCCTCCTGGTTTCTGGCTCCCAAATGGCTCCCATGTCCCCAGTCAGCTCAACCTCTGAGTTGTTGGGTGTCAGTACTCTTGTGTTCTCCCAGGCCTTGTTCATCAGCTGCTCCTCCGCTGACTCTGGGCCTTTCCGGCTCTCAAGGGCAAGGCCAAGAGCGACCTGCCATGTGGCATGTTTTCCCACAGGTTTCTCCATGTCAGGATGGTTCACGCATGTCTCCGGGTGGGCCTAGTGTGTCGGTTCTGCTCTGTGGCATGGCGGTTCTCAACCACCGGCCCAAGGGCCGGTACGCTTCTTGGTGCCACTTCCCAGGTGCCAGCTGCCTGCCTTTCCGGGCACCTGCGCGGCTGGGGTGCCAGGCCCTGGTCTTATGTTTTAGTGTTGATGTTTTATTCCCATAGTATATGAAAGATTCTTGGAGGGTAATAACTACGAATTACTAATTTTTTTACTTATTTATTCTTATGTCCCTTACAGTTACTCATATATACTTGTGGAAAAAAATGAACTAATTGAAGTGATTGCATTTACACTAGGCCTCTAAGAATAAGTGGGATTTTTTTTACTACAGGGGAGAGCAGTCTGTCTTAATTATGTTTGCACTGTGGTTGCCTATTATAGTGCCTGGTACCTAGCAATTCAGCAAGTATCTGTCAAACTGACTGGTCAGATGCATCAAAGAAAGCCATATATTTTAGAGTATTTTTAAAAATTGTGTTTAGGCACATATCCCATAAAATTTATCATATTAAGTGCATAATTCAGTGGTTTTAAGAAAAATCACTGCCGAACCTGTGTTACATGACCATCACCACTGTTTCCAACTTTTTTCTTCATCTCAAACATAAACTCTGTACTTAATGAACAGTAACTTCATGTTTCCTCTTCCTCCCAGCCCCTGGTAACCTCTCCTCTACCTTCTATCTCTATGAATTTCCCCATTCCAGATACTTCATGTGGAATCATACAATATTTTTGTATCTGGCTTATTTCATTTAGCATAATGTTTTCAGAGTTCATCCCTGGTGTAGTATGTATCAGAACTTCATTCTCTTATGGCTAAAAATTCCACTGTATGACACTGTTTATCCACTGTTGATAGAAAGTATTTATAGTCTCTTAAAATACTTATCTACTGAGTTTTAATGTCTGCAAAAGACTGGTATTTGGCAATAATCTGAAAAACTGAACAGAGTCCTCACCTTTCCACATCAAAAACGTATCAGAGCTTGAACACCATTTTAAAACTTCTAGAAATAATACACAAACCAGAACAACTTGCTTTTTCTCCACTACTAGGTGCAGCCATTGAATAGAGTTGAGAGAAGGCTAGGGAGACTAAAGATGATCAAAATTGTGAATAGGCACAGGAAAAGTAAGAGACTGACCCAGTTAACAATTAGGCTTAAGAAGTCACATCAAAACTTAGTGACTTAAAATTAACATACCAATAGGACTTCAACATATAAACTTTGGGAGATACAATTTAGCTTTGGAGAGTGAAGTCTATGGTGGAGCTGTTCTTGCGAAGACCCTTATACCAGTGATGGCAAATCTTTAAGAGATCAAGTGTCCAAACTGCAACCCAAGGCCCACTTATTTATTGCAAAGTGCCAACACTGCAATTAAACCTGAACACTGAGGTTTTAGTTTAGCAAAAAACAACTGTTATCTGTTCTGTTGGCATGTGAAACTCCTGGAGCAACTTGGCTTAAGCGCCAACAGAGAGGAATTCTGAGTGGCTGCTGCAGCACACATATTGTAGGTCTGCCACTACTAACTTATTCAGAGCTAGTAAAGCTAAACACTGTCTGAGGAAATCTTGTGTACCATCTTTGTGAAGATACCATAAAAGCAGAGGCTACCACCATAAGACCAGGTCAAGAAGTGAAGGCACCCCTGGCCCCGAATGGTTTGGTAGATGGGTATTCAACAACATTCCGTTCCATTTTCTTCCCAGTGGTCCTCCCTGGACTAGAGCCTGAAAGTTCAAAGTGATAGTTTCTCCGTTGAAGTTAGATTTTGATTTGGACTAGCTAATCAGATACATAGTATCTAGAAGGAGGAAGTAAGGAAAACCCATACCATGGCTGTTTCGCCAAAAAGCTTAATTATGAATGCCTCCTTTGAATTTCAGTTGCAGTTAGCAGAAGCTCATGTGCCCACTCAACCAGCTCTGTAAATGTCCACAGCAGACAGAGCTCACTGCGTGTGTTCTGCTATAGGCCTCAAAGCGCAGCAGCACATTTTGCCGCACACATAAGCACAGAGATGTGATCATGAGAAGGACTGTTCAATCTGATTGAAACCCTATCTTAAGGTATTGTCAGAAGTGACTGAGTAAGGCCAGGGATATAGCTTGGCAGCACAGTGGCTACCTGGCAAGGGTAGGGTCCTGAGTTGGAATCCCAGTAGAAAAAAAAAAAAAAGAAGTGACTGAGTCACCTTGAAGTGTCCAGATTGCATTTTTTTCTATTTCATGAAGAAAGAGTTTAAGAACTTAGGTGAAACTGATTATAGAAAAGCAAAAATCACTCATTTTTTGGATATTTGGGTTTCATAAACTGTTGTAACATTTGAATAACATTGCTATTACTTGAGATACTAAAAGAAAAACTCTAGACAGACTCATATTAGGAAAATTACTTATATTCTGATGTAAAACTTTTTTAAGTATGCACCTCTTATATCTGAAATATGCTTACATTGATACCCTATCTCTTTTTCATCTGACCCAGAAATATACACCTGGTAAAAATAGTTTCCAAGAGTTTGTTTTGCCCCTAGCCTGTCAATATATTATTTACTTATTCTTTCAATGTTTAAAATATTGTATTCAAAATTTATAAAAGACTGCAAAGGGTCCATGTAAA